GGATTCTGTCTCCTTTGCGTTTATAAGACCTACATTTTATCATTAATTATTTAAGAGTGAATTCATTGATGATAATGGGGGAATAATGACCAAACAATTTCAATAATTTACGGGAGAATTTTGTTGTTGTTATTTTTTTTTTACACTCGCTTATTAGCTGTAATATCGTTGGAGATTCGTAGGAAGCGTAATTTTATAATATCGAATTCAGAATGATGAATTAATCTTTACAATAATGAGAATTTTTTAATTATAGCAAGAGCCTGGAAACTGTACGCAGATAAAAATATTTAGCATAATAAAACTGGTGAGCTATTGCAAAATTTTAATTTTATCATGACCATGGCTTAAACAAAAATTTTTATTTTCTTTCTCCTTTAGCATAGAGTAATGACTTTTCCCTTTGGAAAGTATAAACAGTTTAAAAATATGATGTTTAAGATTATCTTTTATTTTTTTTTTAAGTTTAAAATTATTCTGATTTTTCGCATATTGTCTTATGCGTTTTAGCTGAAAGGTTATTTCACGCCAATATTACTAAAATACCTGTTGGATACTTACAAAATACTTAAGCCATTAAAGTTTTGAGTGGAATAAATTTTATGCAATCATATCCAGTAAAGATTACAAATTTGACAATATTGAAATTTTACTTATTTCATAGCTTATTCATTCGTAAAATGTTTTAATAAAATTTCAAATATTCTTGATTTATTTTTATTTTTCACATTATCAAATATTTTACATTTCTTACAATTTTCAGGTCGAAATAAAACGTTAAATTAAGATATTAAGAAATGGTATGTGTATCTTAAACAAATTCATTAGAAGAACAGATGACGATTCAAAACTAAGACAAGGATAGCCCGATATTTTCTTATGCTTCTTTTTTATATGCTTCCGATATGTTTCTTTTTTTGTTTTTAATAAATCTGTTGAGGTGATGGTGTCTGATGTATTGTACTGTAAATACTAGGGAGATAATTACTAAATACTTTGGGATCATTTATTTTCATACATATATCAATAGATAATAAGTTATGAAATTATGGACTATAGGCATCCATGAAAGAGCACCATAATATCAATTCTTATGCGTCTCATTAATAGCCTCGTATAATTTAAATAATAATGCAATTGCGTTTCCAAATTAATTTATATTTAACATTTATTTTATTGCAATTGTAATCGATTATCACGCGCATGGAGAAAGTTATAATGAAAGCAGAGAGAGAGAGAGAGAGAGAGAGAGAGAGAGAGAGAGAGATGAACGCTAATTTATACGGAACTTTTGCTATATATAAAATTACATATTCATAACTGCAACCCTAACTGTAATTCAATTTAATCTCTAGTAACAGATATTCGTATACGTGAACCATGAAGATAGACGATTAATTGATATGCTATTACCTTCAATAACTAAAATCGCGCAAGAATCCTATTATCAGACAATGTCTAACACTAATTTATCGTCGCGAAACACTTTTGCAATTACTTTTCTCCATCACTTCAGCATTAATTTCTACAAACGCATGATAATATTGACTCTCAATGGTAAAACTAAATTATCTATCGCTATTTATAAATTTTTTATCAATGATCAGCGAGTGTCTAGAAATCTAATACGTTTTTCTATACTCGCAAATGCCTTTTATCATTAATTTTATCCAATTAAATATAATTGTAGAGGAATAAGTGAAGAATAAGATCTTCAACATTTTTATTTATGCTTTTTTATACTTAATTTATGTATTTATATTTTAAAATTTGTAGATAGCAAAAACTAATTAATTTTTCGTAAGCTATTGGGATACGATAATATAATACATAATTATTTTATTACAATAAATAATCGCCATATACGTATTATCATTAGTTGTTCACTTAAACAATGTATAACTTATAATTAATAATTTTATTACACAGATATTGCAAAACAGTTTAATAATAATATTTTATTTTATAGAATGAATTTTTAAAATGTTGAAAAATTATTAATGAAACATAAGCTTCCGTATAACATTGTGTTTGACGTATTTACTTATGGAGTAAGCGGTTACCAGTTACCAGTCAATTTACCAATAATTCCACTGGTATATTTTCATTTAATTAATTATAATACTATTCAATTTTATCGAATAAATTGCAAATTTTTAAATATTCGAAAGATTTTATCCTTGAATAAGAAATTCATTACCATATTGTAAGTTATTATATTGCATTACTTTGGCTAACGGTAAACTAAATTATGATTTTATGAATATTGGATTTTCACAGATTATTATAAAGATGAAAAGAGAAACTAAATCAAATTGAATATTTTTGTAAATTTAACTCTCTCGTGAACATGTCATTTATTACTTAAAGCCTTTTTTCTGATTGATTGTTAGAACAGCACTTGAAAAAAATTAATGTACATATAGAGATAATAGCTGTAATCTTTATGAAAAAAAAAATTTTCCTTTTCTTTTCTTTTTTTTCATAAAATCTTTTAATAAATTAGTTTAAGCATAAAATATTTTTAATACCTAGGGTAGTATATTAAATACTAGATAATAAATTTAATTTCTTAAAGCTTTATCTCCAAAGATTTTAACGTAATATATTTTGCATATACGTGTAACATTGGTATTTGCAACATAAGACCATAAATTGACAAATAATCGAAGTCTTAAAATATTAATTATTGTCAATACTTCACTTAAAATTATTTTCATTATATGCCGTTGATCTGCCGCGTGATCGTTAAATCTAGCCAATGATTATTTCAATCCAATGCTTGACATATTTATAAGATAAATGTATTATAAAAAAAAAAAACAAAAAAAAAAGTTGTAGTATTTTTTCTTTTGAATATTTTGTCTTCTTCGATCTACACACTCACTCGAATACATTTAAAATAATTTATTTTTATTTTGGAAGTTTTAATATGTAGAATAACTTGATAAACAAGTAGTAATGTCATTCAATGTATTTGCATGGCATCTCATGTATGAAAGTTTACTTAAAAATGTGAAAAATAACAGCTCGAATTATATTAAAACACAACTGTGAATGCAATGTTAAGCTGCACATTTACGATATAATATTTGAACACAAACATAGATATATATATAGATAGATATTTTCCTGCAAATATTTCCCTATTTTCAACTATTTTCAAATATTGAGGGAATCAATTTGCAACTAAAATTGTTAACCACAGAAATAAAGTGAATCCAGATACAAACATTGATTTTCCATTTAATCCGTATTTATTTGTCGCTCGCTCGATCTCACACAGGGATTATCGTTCAATTAAAGTGTGTAGTGTGACAGGAGAGAGAAAAATTTGTGCGACAGCTTACGAGTTAAAGTTCATACTTGAATTAATGATGGTCGTTGAATAATGACGAACACTCGTTAAAATCGGCTGATAGCGTGAAATGAGACTCGGCAACGTTTGTTTTGAAATGTTTAGTACGAGCACCATTGTTCGTTCCGTGCCGATTTTGCGACGAAAAAATTGTTACAATTGTTCGGATCTTGGCCGTCGATGCTTTCACACGAAAATAATTGGTAATGCCCTTAAAGCAAGCCGAAGACAACATTATTGAAGATGATCGATTTTCATTTAGAGCATACTACTAATTTTTTTAAACTTGCGTTTATTTTTGTTAAAATACAAGGTTACATAAGCATAGATTGGGGTTCGTAGGCAACATTGCCATCCAAGCGGTGCCGTGGTATAACAGAAAATGAAAGGCTTTTCGAGTTGATGGACTTTTAAGTCCATTAAAGGATTTTTAATTAAAAAACGGATATCGTAATGATGATTAACGCAGCGATCCACATGATTATCTTTGAAAATATATAATTATGACCAATTAAATTTAAGCAGTTCAAACAGATATTTTAATAATTCAAAGTTTCAGAAATCGATAATAAATTACATCTCTTTATATGCTGCTGTTCTTTATGAAATTATCATAAATGTTATAAAGATCGAAACATTTATGACTTAGACGTTAATATTTTTATCTACATATTTTAAGTGTATTGTAATGTTTTGGAAATTTTTAAACAAACAAAAAAAAAAAAGTTTCACCGAGTATTGACAGTCAATCCTTCTCACTTAGTACGTCCTTCACTTTTTGAATTTAAAGATATTTAAAAAAAATGAAAAGAGAGGCGTTATTTATTAAATAAAAAACGGAATGCAAATATAAATCAATTTTTTGCAAATATTGTTCACAAGATTCTCATATAGAGAATTTCTCGATAAAGTCATTCATACATGATTATTAAATTTACAATGTATTTGTACTACACCCACTTCCTTAGATCAGAATTAGTTTGAGAATACCGATGATCCACATTTCTTCGAGTCGGTAGCTGATGACCTTTTTTTAATCGATGACCGAGAATATTGGAGAGATTTCCTCGTCTTACATTCGGAAGTCATTCTATCTTCCAAACTCCATAGATAGTTCTATATTAATTATAAATCGTAGTTCGATCTATGACAATCCTACATTGTTTTTATTTGGTTTTATTATATTATTGACAAGTTATAAGAAACGACTTATTTCGTCTGTCGGCGATACCTTTAATATTTTATTTTATAACTTTACGATCTCTGCGGCCATGAATGTATTGAAGTTACAAGCTACATCTCCCAATCATCGAAACTTCACCTTAAGCTTCTCCAACAAAATTGCATATACATTCGATCATAAACATTATAGGAATGTCAATATTTTTTGAATGCTCAATGACACATTATAATAATTACGCAATGGGATAATGTCGCCAAAATGCCATTGCGCGACGAGGTCGCAAAGAAGCGAACAATGGCCGAAAAGGCGAGACGAGATTATCCAGCGCGACAACTCTCGGATAAATACGTATATTTCTGAGTCTTTAGGTGCATTATGCATCGTTACGTTGAAGCGATTATCCCCGACATCGCAGTTCATCGATGGCTTTAACCGAGTGCTGCATGATTAATTTTGCAGGTGACAACGGTACCGGACGAGGCCGAGGACAACTTTAAAGTTCCGAGAACTACAGTAGTACACATGGCGTCGACGGCGACGAGACCGCAGCACATGTCGCAGGTAAGTGTTGGAATAAAAACTCGGGCTTGTTCGGGGTCACCGACGCCCGGGCGCACCTCTCGTTATTCGAGGAAAGCTCGGCTCGGTCGCGCGGAGCTTTCATCGATTAAAAAACCGTGGATGCGCGCATCCCGCGGATCATTCCGCCTTTCACAAAAATAATAACCGTTGAGAGTCACGGGACTCGACGAGTTGCGACGAGTTGCGGCTATCGCCGCATATATTCACGCTTAACCAGACAATTTTTGAGGTCGGACAATAGAGATTACCAATTGTTACTGCGAATAGGAAAATAATATATATATATATATATATATACATCTAACTTGGTAAACTATCGAATGGCTAACGTCTCCGAATATGGCTATTATGTTAATATGTGATCGAGCTCTGGAAAAGTACATTAATCCATTGTTATATGTTGTTGAAACCTCGATAAATTGATTATGAAAAGATTGAAATTTTCGCGACGACTTTTAATTAATTTTTTATTTATTTTTTTTTCAAGTTTTAATTATTCAATGAAAGTCGTGTAATATTTTTTTTTTTTTTTTTTTTTTTTTTTTTTTTAAAGCAAATATCGACTGGTCGAGCTTGACTGTTCGTTAATCGTACCGAACTTTCTTCGCACTGTCCCTCCGTCATGCCTATCTTCTCGCCTCGTCTTGGACCGCCCGCGTGCTCTAAAATGAAGACATCGGCTATAATGAACGGTTTGGTTAAATAATGCAGGGGGTGAGGGTGGAGAGGTTGCGAGAGTGAGAGCGCGTGAAAGATATGGGGTGGGGTGGGAGCAGGAGCCGAGATTCTTTTGCACGCGAGTGTTTTCACGACTATGATTTAGCCATTGGCGGGAGCGGGTACGTACTATTGGTTCATATTTTAAAAAGAATTTTCGCTCGGAGCCGAACTACTTTTGAACTAATGACTTTCGGTTAAGTTTCGGCCTTAATATTAACCACTTTTTCGTCGCCCCTTTTTTACAATTAAGCCAAAAGTCCATCTTTTCCAAGAATATTATTCAACTATACGAATTATTTTATTTCAGTGCTAATTATTGCGCATCAATTTATCAAATCAAATTGTCTATTGCAAAATTTTCAGCATAATATGTCTTGCGATTGAAAATTATTTTACTATTGATTAGACGTTTACGTAAAGACGTTTTCTGAAGTTTTTAATTTTGAACTCTTTTTAACTCTTCGGTCCGATAAATCCGAGTAATTATTGTATTATTTAGAAATATGTTTTTATTTGTATTCACACATTGCGATGGAAGATATGAAAAGGAACGTGAATATTATTTGTTTAATAGGATTGTTTATAAATGGCTTAGTATAATCTAAGCCCCTATTACTTTTTAGCTGATTTATGAACATTGATTGGAGAACTATCCAATCTGCACATAAAGTTTGTAATTCGCAGGCTGGAAACTAGATAGAACTCTTTGAATAGTACCGCCTATATAATTTAATGACTCTAACTTTGACATGACGAAATCCATTAAATCGATATAGCTACTAATATTAGTGAAAAATGAAAATTAAAACCTCGTCGATTTTCAATTTCGAAATTCGGCAGACAACTATTTTATAAACTATTCTATGTTTGATAAATAAAAAATAATATAACTTTAATTTAAAATTTTTTTATTTTTTCATGCATTGCAATCGCGTATCATAAATTTTTATTGACATTTCGGTGTAATTTGATTGATATTTGCACAAAATTATATTTACGTTAAGAAAGAAAATTTCCAATTGTATCTTGATCGGTATTATAAAGTTATAAACAATTGAATTCCTATCACTGAAAACTCAGCGACAAATGACAAAAATTTTATTTATAATTAAACGAAACTTACATCCACCGAGTGTAACATTATTCATATACTTTCAATAACAAAATTTGGTTCTTTTTCATATTGCGTTGTACTAGCCAGAATGAAATGTGCCTAATTACTGCTTTCATAAAATATTTATGAAATTTAAAATCGAATTAACCATTTTGTTGAAAGTTGAAACATATTTTTTATGCAATATTCTACGCCTTATAAAAGAACAAGTAATGCCAATTATTTTTCTCGGACTGCATTTGTATCAATAAAACAAAAATGGGAATGTAAGGAGCGATAATTTCGATCATATGAAATTCATCGTCGATGCATACTTATACATAAATAAATCAGCTATAACTTTAAAATACGCTGAAACATTCCTGCGCGTTAAATGCTTAAGGACTTACAACGAAAAATGCGGCAACTTCTATTGTCACAAGGATATCTAAATTGTACAATGGGGATGAGTGGACCGTTTATGCACGGTAGAACGCGCATGTAACTAAGAATGGAGAAGGGATTCGTTTACGGCCAAAATTAGTATTCCCGGCCAACGCTGGGCTCGGCTTGACTTTCAATTTGCGGCTTGCAATTTGCTCACGTGCAAATGCCACAAAACCTGTGGGACCAATGAGAGGAACGCGAACCAAGACAGGCAGACAAACAAACAGAGGCAGAGAATAACATGGACAGATAGACAATTTTGTGTGTGTGTGTGTGTGTGTGTGTGTGTGTGTGTGTGTGTGATAGTGTGTGCATACGTGCGCGCAGGCGCAAAATGGATAATGGGATTCATAGAAAAAAGCGTGTTATTTATAATTTCATTATAAATAATATTATGATACATTGCCTCCCGCAATGTAATTAATCTTTTTTATTTGGTATTATATTATTATCAGAGCTAAATAAAAAAAATTAATTTACGTATATAATTTCATAGCCATATTTAATTGTATAAAAATATTGTACTATTACATTATTTTATATTGTTTGATCGTTATAAATATATATATATATATATATATATATATATCTATATCAAGTATACGAAACATTGAAGCAAAGTTAATGCTTAAAAGACAAAATATTTTACTAATGTTCAACTAACTAAATTTATATAATTTATAATAATATTTTATCAGTCACTTTACGGTAATGTAAACTTCAGTAGTCGATAGCGTAAATTGTAACATACTCTAATATAAATATGAAAAAACAATATTTCGTTTTTTTAACGTTATTAATAATTCATAATAAAGTTATTTAGTCGTTTGTAAATTATCGATAGTATTTATTGTACCGATTACATGCGCGAGACAAGCTTTCATATTAATATAGCATCGACTGTATAATATTTTACGCGTTTGCAAATGCTGATTAATCCTATATAATTTTATTTAAATCTTCGAATAGACAATGAATTTCTCTGTAAACAATATATGATTATCAATGATAAATAAGAAATGCTTAACTGGTCGGATTTGTCTTAACAATACAAATAAAACACGTTATTTAACATTTTTATGAAGTACTAATCGTTAAGATTTACATTTCTAGCACGTAACGTTATTTTAAATAAAAATTTTCGTCTATTGTACGTGACATATAGTTATTGGCAACAAATGTCGTTAATTTATGCATTTAAATTCGTAAAACGTGTTTAATTAATCATCACTTCGATTCAATCTAAATATTACAATGAGTAACATAATAAAGAATAATTAAAATACTTTTTGTTTTTTGTTTTTGGTTTTTTTTCTCTTCTTACACCAAGAAATAGCAAAACTTTAGCCATTGAATTTCAAATCCACTTAACTTTGAAAGCAACAAGATTTTCATTTAATATTTTGTGCGAGTAAATTGCACGATTATTTATTATTATGCATTTTAATTTAAAAAAGTGCGAGAGAAAGCCAATATTTAGATTCAGTAAACACGTAGACGCGAGTGAGACGTTAAATAAAAAAATACAATTTTACGTGTCGTGCGCCTAAAATCAATATGCATTCGTTCGCATATTCGACTCGCGAATATCTATCTTAAAATTACAAGTGTCAATCGCACAGTTGAAGCGCCTTTTTATTTACACATTTATTTAATATGTTTTTACGTTTAACGTCGTTCGAAACGAACGGTACTGCGTGATTGGAGGCTGCTGATAACAAATATCGGCGAGACTGGTATAAAAATAAAAAAATGAAGGAAAAAAATACCGGAGCGTTGGATGTATGGGTTGTCAATTTAATGATTGCCATAAAACTAATTCATCCTCTGATTCATTCTGGATTAATATTTTTTACAATATATATTTACATTATTGGCTCAAATGTGATATATGCACGACACTATATCGACAAGCGTAATTGCGAAATAAATTATTTCAATTAACTTTGATTAAATTGCCAATCCTAATGAGATTATGTCGCGAAATATGTAGCCAGTAAACAGACTGTCAGTAAGAAACGCGTATTTCATTAATTATCTTAAGTATTGTCCGGGATGAAGGTAAGCTTCATTAGAATGCAAAAAGCTTTTAATTCGCGCACAAATCCGCCAGATACAATTTAAGAGTTAGCTTATCACACATAGTTGTAAGATGTTATAAAATTTATTATATTTATACGTTAGTACCACTAAATACCAATCGCCGCTAGCTCATAAACATAATTGATTTACGTTTAATTCTTACGTAAACGTACAGTTATGAAAGCGACATATGAGCTTATCGTCCGTACAGATATTATTCTCGAAACTAAATAATAAATCAGTATTTCATTCACAAAAGCCCGCAATCCTTTTAATTATTTTTCAAGCAGATATTTAATAGATTTAATAATCGTTGCTTCACTCTCGATCGTAGATATCAAGTTCAATTTGAGTTTTATAAATATCTAGCGTAGAAAAATATTAGATATAGTGAGTTTAATCTCCCTCAGGTTAATTGTTGGTAAATCACTTAGTGGTCGATATATGTGTCGATATATAACTATAATATAATTTCAGGTCCTGGCGACCTTGGCTCTGTCCATGGGAACGTTGTCGTCGGGTTTGGCTAAGGGTTACACATCGCCGGCTCTCGACTCCATATTAGATAATCAACCACCGAATCTCTATCAATCTAACAACAACGGCACTTGGTAAGTTTCATCAAAATATCATCCAGACAATGGCGCCTACAAATTAACGTATATACCTTTCATTGGAACGTTAATTATCCTATAGGGTGGGGCGCAAAACTATCCTCAAATGCAGCCCCCTCCCCTCCCCTCCCTCTCTTAAGCTGAATGGAAAAGAGTGCGCCACAAGACAAAGGGCAAAAATTGCTGAAATGGTGATTTACGAGCCGTGGAAAAAAAAACAAAAAACAAAAAACACAAAAAACGCTACGAGAACTATGGATGAAGGGTATAGGACGATTAAGGTTTGTTTGTATGTGCCTTGTAGGACGGCCTTCTCGGTAACGCTGCAGGAAGCCTCGTGGGTAGCCTCGTTGTCGATGCTGGGCGCTTGGTTCGGCGCCATGATCGGTGACTGGATAATGCGGAAGGGCCGCCGGCTGGCCCTCCGACTGACCTCCCTGCCCCTGGCCGCAGCCTGGGTCCTCACCGGCGTCGCGCCCTGCCTCGAGCTCATCTACACCACGAGCTTCATTGGGGGCCTCTGCTGCTCCGTCATTACGATGGTCGCTCAGGTAAATCATTGTTTCGACCCGTGAACATGTTCATGTTCGATGAATCTATGATGAAGACGCGCCGACGATTGATATAGTAGTAGCTCAATACTTGTTACGGTAAGTTGGAACTTTGGAGGGTACTCTCTGTCTCTCTTTCTCTTTCTCTCTCTCTCTCTCTCTCTCTCTCTCTCGTTTGGAAACTGAGAAGAAGGTAGGAGGTTGTGATTGGTCGCCGCAGCCTCCAAATTGGTAGAGACCGTCAAAGGTAAGAAGTTGCCAGCGTTGGCGCATTCTCATCATCGATTCTCTCTCCCGGCAGGTCTATATCTCGGAGATCTCGTTGCCGGGGATTCGCGGCTGCCTGTCGGCGATGTTGAAGGTACTGGGTCACGTGGGTGTGCTCCTGTCCTACATAGCGGGCTCGTACTTGAACTGGCGCCAAAGCGCCCTTCTCGTCGCCATAGCACCCTCGATGCTTTTCAAACGCCCTCTTATCTCGTCCTCAATGGCAAGGACGAGGAAGCGGCCAGCAGTCTTCAATGGTTGCGTGGATCCCACGTTGACATTAGACACGAGCTCCAGGTACGACTGTCACCGTCCGTCTGACATTAAACCTTACTAATTGCGTTCGCTGTGTTTCCTATGCGAACTTGCTTATCTCGCCTCCCTCTCGCAAGTTTTGCTCTCATCGTATTTGCTCTGATCGCTCTTTTGTCTCCTCATCGGAAACTGCTTCTTTCAATTGCCGTTTATTATTGCGTTTAAGTCCCGGTCATATGCTCCAAAACCTATTAAAGTCTTGCAAATAAATTAATGCAGTGCTTCGTTAAAATTGCGAATGTAAAAGTAATGATATGATAAAAAAAAAAAAAAAAATATATGCACACCGACACTTTCTACGCAAACCAATGAATTTATAAATAAATGAAATGCAAAAAAAAACCCAGAAGAGACAAGAAAAGAAACAGATTTAAAGCGCATAAATTGAATTTGAGTAAAAGTAGGCACTTCATTGAGTTCGGAAAGATCAACACGAGCCGATATTGCATCTTGACATTTTTCCTCTTTACCTTCTTTTCCAGGTCATAAAAACTAACATTTTGGCCTCGCGAGCCAAACAGTACGAGCTGACTTTCAAGAGCAGTATGTTAGCGCCACGGTTGTACAAGCCAATCGGTATAACCTGCGGTCTCATGTTCTTTCAAAGATTCTCCGGGGCGAATGCTTTTAACTACTACGCCGTCAACATCTTCCGGCAGACTTTGGGCGGCACGAATCCTCACGGGGCCACGATTGCCATTGGATTTGTCCAGCTTTTAGCATCGCTTTTGTCAGGTATACAGAAATTTTAAGTGCCCCCCCCCCATCTTTCTTATCAGTTCCCACAACTATCTTAACGAAACTTTAATAGTTGACATTGCATCGTAAAGTACCGATCTTACAACACTAATATAGTTATATAGTTAATTGCATGGTTATAATGATGAGTACAGACGAAAATTTGAATGCCTACAACTAGCAGCAATGCAACTCGTAGTCTTAATTTTTTTTTTTATTGCAAGTCTCGAGGCGGGCAATTAAAAGTACAGGTTGACCTTTTAATGATTTGAACGACTAATCTGCTTTTTAAATTTATAGCTATTGAAAATGACTGCTCGACCCCGACAATGACACATAAATAATCACGCTCAGTGAATGAATGATCGACGATAAAATATATAAGATTAGTTCGTTAACTTGTCGATTAGAAAGCCTAATCGTACGTTTGCGTAATGATTATAGAAAGAGAGAGAGTGAGAGATAGAGTCTCTCTCTCTCTCTCTCTCTCTGTCGTGTCGCTTGGGCATAGGGATGATACGCGCGATCCTGGACGTGGAGAACCGGTGAGTAGTGACTAATGTAGCCATGGTTGCAGGCTTCCTTATCGACATCGTCGGCAGACTGCCGCTACTCATCGCCAGTACCGTGTTCATGTCGTTGGCTCTCGCTGGTTTCGGCAGCTACGCCTACTACAACTCCATGTCCCAGATGCAGAGTCTACCGGCGTCTTCGTACGCGGCGGAGGCTGCCGCCAGCGTCACCGGGCACCACGATTGGATTCCCCTCTTCTGCGTCCTCGTCTTTACAACGGCCCTGGCCTTGGGCGTCTCGCCCATCTCCTGGCTTCTCATCGGCGAGCTCTTCCCCCTCGAGTACCGGGGACTCGGCTCGAGCATCAGCACGAGTTTCAGCTACTTCTGCGCTTTCGTTGCCATTAAACTTTACATGGACTTTCAGGAGGTGAGAGACGCGAAAGCAATGTCGACGGATGCCCTCGTCGTCTCCGCTTGTTCTCCCCTCCCATCCACCCCATTCCACAGCCAATGATCGCACTTTATTGCGTTCTTTATCTGTAAAGTAACTGTAGAGCGTCATGAGCAATCTTTTCTTTTTCCTTATAGCCGGGCAACGTCATACGCCTTACGCCACGTTCAAGAAGAATTTTACCGAATAAATATTGTAGCACCAGTCATTTTAAGAGCCTCGCATTCCGTCTGCTTAATTCCTTAAGTGTCTCAAGAATTTTAAAAGGCTCACTTTTTTGTTTGTTTTTTGTTTTGTTTTGTTTTTCGTGCTTATCCACTTTCCTTCGTTGCAATGGAATTCTCTATAGATGTAATAAGCCGCGCTTTGTATAAATTTTAAAAAGCAATAGTTAGCTTTAAACGCAACTAATCAAGTAATGACCCTCGTTTTCGACAATTTTTAAGACAAGAGGTTTTCTTTATGCGCAAGAGGCAATTTTGAAAACGGAAAAACGCCATCGTATTCGTTTTATGCGGTTACCAGTAAGCGAAAGATCTTCGAAAATGATAATCGATCATTCCAAAGTCTTGCCCTGCGCGCTTTGGGTATTATTATAATCACGCGGTACTCACCCGCCTTACTTTCAAATTACGTTCTTACATGCAGAGATAGGAGTTTGATGACTCGGACGGCTTGAGCCCGACATAAGATAAAAAGAAAGGGAACGCGAGAGAGAAAAACAATACGTTGGAAGTCTATGTTGGAAACGTATTAGGATACCATCGTGGCACTCTTTGCGAATTGCGGCACTTTGCCGTTTACTTTTCTCATTAGTTTAATTGTAGAGACAGAGGAGCAGAGTGCGAGAGGAGTCCGTAACTTAATAATATTGCACTTTCATAACCCCCCCTAGATACACAGTTGTCTGTCTAAAATTTACGTCTAGCCAAGTAATTGATAAATAATAGGCACTTGTGGGAACTGGAGATTTGTCTATTAATTGCCGAAGGCCAGCAGTCGATTTTGTCTTTATCCATGAATTTTTTTCTTCCTTCATTTAATTATTTTCAATCGTATAATTAATTAAATAACTGAGTTTGTTTATTGTTCTTTTTTATTAATTTTTTTATTATTTTTTTTTGTTGATAACCTCAATGCAGAACATAGTTAAAATTCTTTTTATAAAGTCATTCGACTCCGTGTTGAATAAAGAGAGACGCACGCGATCAAAGTCTATTTGTCTAGAGATAAGCCAAATTAAATGCAGCAATAATAAGTCTTCGTTTTTGCTTCGTTTTAAGCATAATAAAACAATGCTCGTACCTTTATTGTTCTTTTATCGGGAATTGGGAACCGGGAATTAAGAAGAAGTTTATGCGGAAGGTGACTCGAGTCCGAGCCCGAGCCCGAGCCCGAGCAATAAAAGCTATTTAAACTCGGTATAAAGTCGCAATTAATTTTATGATCCGCTTTATGTAAGTTAGGATCCCATACACTTTATCTAATTAGCCGAGTATATTCTAGTCCTAGGCGATGCTCCTCGCGCTATCCACCGCCCATAAATAACCTCGCCCATAAATAAAGCAAAGCGCGTTTTTTTTTTTCAGACGCTGGGCCTGCACGGCGCCTTCTGGTTCTACGCGGCCGTGGCCGTGAGCGGCCTCTGCTTCGTCGTCTGCTGCGTGCCAGAGACCAAGGGTAAGCAGCTCGACGAAATGAACCCGGAGTACGCACAGGCACGGTAGTATAAGGCCTCCCTCACGGGAGGGCTGTCGAATCTCGAGAAGACGAATAAGCCACTACCTAGCGGCGCTTATCCGAACCAGCACGACCCGCGCGCCACGTACCTGTCCTCGTCTTCCTTCCGGGCTCCGGATCCCGGGCCCTTTTTCCGGAGATACGGGCGCCGCCGGCTCACCGACTACTGTAGCGCCTTCACCGAGAAGACCAACAACATTACGCGCAACGTTCGTGGAAAATTCGCCGACTGGCGACTGTCCGCGGTACGAGCGGCGCGCGGCAACGGGAAGCCTCCGTTTCGCCGTTACACCGAGCCTGTGAGAACGGCGAACCAGCACATGTTGCACTCCTACGGGATGAATTACGAGCACGGCGAGAGGTACGAGGAGCTGGCCAGTAGAACGCCGAGCTGCAGTGCCTATAGCCAGGACATCATGAGGAGCTTGGAGGAGCTTGAGCTGAATCGAATAGATCGCTGCCGTAGGTACGCAAGAGCCGCTCCCGAACATCGTTCGCAACAGCGCCTTCACCGGGAGCGGGATTCTGAGGAGTCGTACCCGACCGCCTCGTCGCCTAGCGAGAGATCCTACGCCACTCTACCCAAGCGAGGTCGGGCCATTAATTTGGAAGAGCAGTTCCTGCCGCAGGATTTGCAACGGCTCAGCAAGTACCCCAAGAGCCTGCGGGACCTGAAATATCTGGAGATCGAGGCTATTTTGGGCCGAGATCCGCGACCAGTTGGCCTTTTATCGGCAGAGCTTGAGCCCGGGAGGCCTGAGCATTTAAATGTATTTGACGACGAGAGGGCGACAAGGGTTCGTGAACAGAGTTCGAGAATGGGGGATGAGAGACGATGCTGGCCGAGGGAAATCGAGGAGACGCAGAGCAGAACGTTGATGGGGAGTTTGGCTGGTGGCAGCCAGATCGAGAGGTACGAGCCAGGAAAGGTGCATTACGAGCGAGAATACAGGATATACGGGAAGGATACCGTGGCACTTATTTTCTACAAGACCTGCTACTTGTGATTTGCCGAATTGTAATCATGCGTCTCAAGGAAATATGCACAGCCAATAATTCATATTATTATAACCCGTTAGCCGTTTGCCGTTGGTTACATTCATCCAATTACGACGCAGTTTGCATCACGCTCGCCAATTTTCCCCGACTCTTTGCGTCATTTCTTTGCCCAATGTTTTGTCAATGTGTCGATACGTAGCAGAAGCCGTTCGTTTAAAATAGAGAATCTCGTTTCTCATCTAAAAGATCAATTACATCAATTCACTTATACTTATGTACTTACTTTCGCAGTGTCAAATAGTCGAGAGCGTTCTTTTTATGAACCAACGACTTAATTCGGCTTAAATTTCTGAGCTATTTGTAAAATAATACAGAATTTAATAGGAAATAAGGAGGTCGGTAATAAGAGTCCTACAAAGTCTAATTATTAATGTATAATTTTACATCTTCGGAACGTGAAGAAAGTTTGTTTACTTAATTTCTTATGTCTGATCTCAGAAAATCTTTCGATACATACAGCTAAAGAGGCAGAACTTCCATGCATCGTGCCTTCTTTCAAACACACGACAATACAATATTAAAATTGTTCGAGACGCTAAAAGCGTAATATTCATATTATTTGTAAAATATATAGAGAAAAAAACATAGAGAGAGAGAGAGAGAGAGAGAGAGAGAGAGAGAGAGAGAGAGAAATAGAGAGAGAGAGAGAGAGAGTGAGAGAGAAATAGAGAAGTGAGTGTGTGCATGGATGTGCAAGTGCGTACGTGTGATAAGAAATGGAGATAAAAGAGAAAAAGCGAATGTTCGTTAACAGCAACACTTTCGCGATATCGTTAATAAAATTTATCCAGGGACCTTAAAATTATTAATATCAAGCAATTCCGAACATTACAATAAGACAATGGAAAAACATTTTTCGATTAAATTTTCAATAAAATTTCTTAAATTTGACTGTTCTAACGATTGAATTTAATAGTATGACAAACGTGATTAGTAATTATTTTCCATATTAAAACTTCTTAATTACTATATTAAAACTATAGAACTATATTAAAATTTCTTTTTCTTTTAATCACGAAAGTCAATGCCATTTTTTATTTTCTATTATATAATAATACTATTATATATATCATTAGTTCAGACGAGAGATACAAAAGTATAATATACTTTTGAAATTGATGGGGCCTGAAAATTCTACACTTAGACTGCGTATATTTGTCAAATTAATTTGAAGAGTAAATATTTTACCACAATTTAGATAAAATTAAACGGAGAAAATTTGCACGATCATTTTTTGTATTGTTTTTGGGCCTCCTCAAATTGCCCGATAATTATGGGTAAACCGACTTCTATCACGACAATACTGATTATAGATACAATAATTATATATACACATAAATAAATTGACAAGTTACAAAGCTATACACATATCCAAACATCCAACACAAATTCTATAAATATACATATGCATGCGTACACATGCACCTACGTATACATGTATAATACTAATGTAATAGAAATTTAAATGTACGTGGAGTATGTTATATTTTAGATTTAATCCATGATAGACGGTAATTAGAGTTTAAGGGAAATTTTTTTGGATAATACTAGAGTATTGATAAAAACTTCGACTAAGAGCTTTATTCTTTCCTTCGAGAGTTCTATAAGAGAACGAGCAAGGGCATTTGCAATTTTTACGAAGATAGTCGAGATTAAGTTTATAGATTTATCGATAAGCAAATTTAATAAATAAATTGTTAAACTCAGTATAATCATAAGGGAACTAAGAAATTAATATTAATAATAGTCGAAAGAAATAACATTGTAATAAGCAGCAACCATTTCTGCAATTAATTAATTGCGGTTCACCTTTCTGACTAATTCCCAAATTATCTGTAAAAATATTTTTCAATTGCATAAAAAGTATTTTCAAATTCTAAAAAGGATTAAAATATTTAGTAACGTTAATTAAAGTATTGTTTAAAATATTGATGAAATAAAATGGCATCAACTTGAAATGCTGTATTAATATTGAAATTCTAAAATATCAAAGAGGATTACAATAAATAGGACTAGCGGTCGATGATTATACCGTTTCTAACGACAAAATCAATCATTATACTTCAATTCCTTAACAAAGATAAAATCAAAGAAGTTTGCATATGATGGATTATTGGGAGTAAAATTAAGCCATTTGAACGAATTCAATATCGAATTGCTTGGAAAAAGTGAGCGGAACATTTGTAGTACCATAATATCCACAATTGTATTTACATTGTATTTTGTATTTTTATATAGTTTGTAAAGGAAAAATGCAAATTGAAAGAGAAAATTAAATAAGGGGCATTAATCAGCCGTATATCAGTATTTATATATCGATGGATAACGGTGGCTTAACGCAAAGGAGATTGTCACAGATCAAAAAATCTTTAATATCAGTATCATGTGTATTTTGTATGTTTCATCGACCTCTATAATGTATAAAAATTATTTTCTTATTGCGAAACTGCTTGGTATTAGTTTATGGAAGAGCAGAAATTATTCGCAAAGTCAAGCCAAGTATTTATTCACATTCAATAATATAAAATCCGTATCGCGCTTATCCCTACAAATTTCAAGACTTTTTCTTTATAGTCTTAAAAATATCAACATTAACATATCGTTAAAATGTTCAACGGAGATTATCCCTTAAATATTGTAAAGTAATACGTTTACATTTTTAAAACGGAATTGCGGAGCGTTTTCTTGTGTTAAATAAAATCGTGTTAATTAACAGAACTTAATTTCGTATTTTCGTGAGCATATGTAATGTACATATTCAATTACAAGATATAATTTATACAACACATTACGATATTGTCGCGTCAATGAAAATTGAATATACATAAATAAAGCGCACGCTCTGAAATTCTTATAATGATATAAGATCAATGTAATCAAAAAATTTGTTGTCCGCCATTAAACATCGGCTCAAAATGTTTATAAACGTAACGTTGTTTGTAAATAATTAAATAATTTATGTAAATGGAAAGAAAAATCATAATCCTTTATCATGGATTTCTCCAACATCAGAGTATCGCACCAGTAGATCAATAATAAAACAAAATTTCCCTGAAGAAGAGTTAAGCTTGGACGTTAGTGACTTCGTATACTGGGATTCGTGGGATGGAGTGCATAATCGCCCAATGCTCATACATGCAGCCAAAGCACAATCGAAGAGATCCGGAATGTCTGCACATTCCTTTGTACTTGGAATAAATATACATACTCATTATCGTGCATTCGTATGAAATAGTCGTCGTAAATATATTTTAGTTTCAAATGAAAAAAAAAAAGAAAAAAGGGAAAAAAAAATAATAAAACCCCGATATTCTGCATTGTGCACTTTTAAGAATTGACAATTTTACGTATAATAGTATTAACAAATAATCATTGTAAGCCACACATATAAATATCGATGCGAGTATTAATACATACGAAAAAGAATGGTGCTTCCATCTCAATTTTGAGGGCAGGCAGGCAGCATATTGTTAACACTGCTGAGATTCGCATTCTGATTTTACGAATATTGGTGAAACATATTTCAACTTCTTCAAGTAACAGAAATTATTAATTCATATTAATAAAATCCTTTTATTTAGAAGTTCTAAATGCGTGTAATTCAGAAAGACAAATTTTATGTCTAGACAATGTCGAGAATTAAAAGAGAAAAAATGATATATATATATATGTATAGAATTATTCGAGTTCTGGATTTTTTTAAGACTTTTTTTTTTTTAAATATATAACACGGTCCCGTGCTTTATCGTAAATACTTATTCCACTATTCGAAGATAATAATAGTTTTCTCTTTATAAAAGCACATTACATACTAGAATAAAACAGTTGATACTCTCTAGATTTATTTGCCACTTGCATTACTCGTAAAAACAAATTAATTAATAATAATAATAATCATGATATTTAAAACTAAAGAATGAAATGTACGGTTATCGAGTATTCTACGAATGATCAATGTTTATCATTAGACGAGATTAGAATTTTCAATCGGTCATAGTATTAGACGTACCTTTTTAAAAGTATGGTACTTTGAAAGAGAGAAGACTATAATGTCTCAGAATAGAATAGCAATCGTTTTAAAAATCGAAATAGCGTGTGCATAAATATATTTCGAATGAATAATAAATATTGGGGTTGCACGAAATACAGACAGAAAATGAAAAACGAAAAAACACGCCAAAACTTGAACCTATAGCCATTCTCTCATACTTGTTCTTTTCTAAGCTCTGTGTTTCGTACGTGCCAGAAAAAAAAAGTGTGAGAGCACATATGTGCATAATAATATAGAAATCGGATCACACGGAAATCACACGGATGAATGTTGTCACATATTCGCCGAAGCATTAGAACTTTTCAATATACAATTTAACAAATAGTTTTTCGAATTATCATTAATAGGCAAGCTTCTTAAATAGTTTATTATGAAATTTTTTTTGAAATTCATGAAAAATTAAATACGAAAAGAAAATGAAAATGTTACTCTATCAGCGTTATGAATTAGCAGGGTTGAATCCGGGATTGACATCGATTTTTCGTTTAAAAATCGTCACATTATATACGCCTTTAGGAAATAAAAATTTCAATAAAAAAGAATAAAGTGGTAAAAATACTATAAAACTCGAAAGACAAATAATAACAATAAATAATTAAAGTAATAAGAATATAGTATAATAGTTGCAATTTTGATAAATATAATCAATAAAATCTTTTATAGTTGAAGAAATCCTCGAAATGTCTGGCGGTCCTGTCATTTAGACTAAAATATAAGACTTGAAAATACTCGTCTTCGAACGAATCTATAATGTATACATTACAAACATGAATTATGTAAATGTAGTAAACGTCGACTTATAATTCCAGCCGAAGTATGCGGTAATAAAACTACGTAACTTAAAAGAATAATATAATCGTAAAATAATATAATAACCGATGATAATAATATGAAACTTCACGACAATAAACAAGAATGTTGATGAGTTAATTGCGTAAGGAGGACGTGAGTGAAAGAGCGCGAGGAAGATGATATTGTATTTTCAAAAATTATACTAAAATTCTAAGGTTAGACAGCCTTTTGAGAAGGCCAATCCCTTCAGCTTCGCTTGCTAGATTTAATATTTTTGTAATGACGCCTTAGACTTAGATTATTTATACCTTCGTAGACATTAAGCGCAGCTCTTATATACTTCTTACGAGGGAAAAATAAATTTTTCTTCGTATTGCAATATATATTGTACGACGAGATAATTTGCTTATTTGATACTCGCGGCCGTAAGGGGGGAGGAGAGGAGGAGGAGGAGGAGGAGGAGGAGGAGGAGGAGGAGGAGGAGGAGGAAGAGGGCGACGACGAGGATTCAGAGGAACACGAATAGTGGAACACGAAAGCATTGCAATTTGATGCGTAAAGTGCCGAGGCTATAAGAGTTTAAAAGAGAATCTCGATAATAATTACAATGACAAATTTTTCCCCTTACACGAGTTATCTACAAAGTTCTACTTTATCAACGGTGTCGTCTAGCCCAACTAATATTTCAAAATAATAGCCACTATGATAAATTTTTATAGATTATACACTTTAAAATTAATGGTAATTGAGGAATATCAGTTCTAATATATACAAATTTTTTAATAATCTCAATTGTTGGTAATAGAAAATACTAAAATAAAACCTTAAAGCCTTGTCATAACAAATAGAAATTCAATCCTAGCTTGGAAGGAAAATTGAAAATTACAATACAATTATTAATTATTCTTAAATCGCTAATAAGCTTTAAATGCTTTGTCAAAATAATAATAAGACAAAAATGTGAATTTAATTTTGTCATCGAGTACATGTAAATATGACTTGGAAGCGTACGAGGTTTCATTAGTCAACCAAGTTCTGCCTGTACTTTGCAAATGATTTTCTGCCAAACATTATTATAATGTTTGAGGGAAAATTTAGTTTGCCAGAAAAATAATTTAAACGAAATATAATTTCAATGGTGCCAATTAATTGTGTCCAACAGTAACATTATAATAAATGCAAATTGTTAAGGTTTCTTTGGAGAGCGCCTGGAGCCGTATTTTATGTTAAAGCATGTAATTAAGTTCAGTTTCTGATGGAATAATTAATAACCTGCCTTGTACCTTTGTAGAAAAATACCAAACATCAAAACAAGCCACATAAATTGCTAAAAAAGTGTTGGCAGAACCAAAATGTTACATATTTGTGTAGAATTGTATATCAATATCTAAGCACATATATATATATATATATATATATATGTATGTATGTGTGTGTGTGTATATATATATATATTAAAAGATGTAATACAGCTAATAGATAGAGAACATAGTTAAAAAGTAAACGTCATTTAAATTTTTCAACCTGACATCCTCCTGACAAATCCACAAAGTAATCTATTTATTTTATATTTTAATTTTATTTTAACTAATAGAGGCAAGATAAAATTTTATCAACAGATAAAGCAACGACGAAACCCAGTCATTTTTAATTACAGTTTCTTAACATTTGATGACTTGGCCAAGGAATAAAACTAATAAATTGTAATTCTAATTATTTAATGGATTCTTACTTTTTGAACGAATGTACTATTAATTATTATGATTGGACGCTTACCCATTTGTAGCATGGATATGTAAGTATCGCAGTCGACCAGAAACTGTCCACATTGCACTGCGCCCAAAGTAAAGATTCTTTTTGTTAAAAAATCAATAGTCTGAGGTCCGGTTCTATTTTCTGTCATGGGATACTGGATGAGTCTGTAAGAAAGGCACATTGTTTGCCTCAATTGTTTAGGTACTTTCTTTGCGTAGTCAACCAAACTTCATCGAGATTTGGTTCAAGACATTGGGACAGAATCGCCTACGCAATTATAAGGAAAAGACACGCTGGGAAGGACTCTTATCCACACGAAAACACAACTAACCACAAATGCAAGACTCCATCCTACCTATCTACTTCCCAATGCAAATGTTTGTCAAGCAATATAATTAATTTGATACTTACACTGTGACGCCCATTGCTTTCCCGAGTCCAAACGAACGATATATCCCAGTCAAAACCTTCTTTTAATTTTAAACACCTTCGCAGAACTATACAAGAGCCGAATATTTATACCGGTATTTGGGGGGGGGGTATTTATGGAGGAGGGAAGAAATCACCGGCAGCGAGCAACAAACAGTCGACTGCTATATTTCCATTTCGCACGCAAACTGTCCCTAAAGCGCCATCTCGGCAAGCTAACCTACTTTACCTCCCGCTGTATATCGTGAAATCTTCGATCCCAGCCGAATTGGCATTTGCTCTTACTTTCCCCTCGCAGCCACCACCAACAGACGAGGCAATCGTTCGCCAATGACAAGCCACGCGCCGCATAATTTGCCAAAAAAAGGCTCCTATCTCGTATAACCATCCTAGCCAACCTTAACCGTCTTGTAAAATGTCCTGCTGGTGGTGGGGCAGAGCGCGCGTTGCATCTTTTCTCCATTTCGTCTTGGAATTGATGCGTGCCGTCTCCTATCATTCAACAGGTCGCATTATTATCCCGGTGATGATGCCGTCTGAGTTCTATGCTCCACGCCGCCTGTAGTGCGCAGGAACCGGGCAGTTGTAGTTGCACGACTGGGACGACGACGGGAGATGGCGCTAGGGTAATGATGGGATCAGCGGGGGTGCACGGGGACGGAGGGATGCATCGGTGGCCGTGGGCTGGCAATGCGCGGCGACACGGTCGTGGAGGGCGACGACGCGCGGCTCCGTTCCTCTGGCTAGTCGTCGTCCCTAGCAGCTGCCTGCTGCCTCTCTTGGGTTTTTAAAGCGCGAAGAGGCCAAGCGCCGTTCCGTCGGGAAATAGCATCGCGGGTTTTGGGTGCCAGCGGTGCGCGCGAGCCGGCCCGTGCGTGTGCAGCTGCCCTTTGGTATTACTGAGCAGGTGGCTCCAGCGGGATCCCAGGGCCGAAGCCGTAGGAAGCGGCAGCCACCGGCGGTCGCTCGTTCCGGGCTTGTTCCGCCCGGGCACTTGGAGGTCAGTCACCCGCTACCAAATGTCCGTCTTCGTCTCGTTCGGGCGTTTGGTCAATGTCCGCTCTCGCACGCTTCACCAGCGAGCTAAGCCCGGATGGTTGTCGTTACGTCGTTCCTTTAAAACTCATTAACCTAAAAGTCCTTATACCGTTGTTTTTTTATTTTTTATTTTTTGTTTCTTACTTTGTGTTTTATGTTTTGTTTTGTTTTTTATTTCTTGTTTACAATGATGCTTGGAACGTCAGTTGATAGGACCACTCGAGCTCGCCAATTATTGCATCGTGACCTTCCGGGTAGCTCGCGAGGAGAAGGTGCTTGGCTCATGTCCACGCGGACGCCTGTGATTTTGGTATTTTAAGGAATTATGGACCGAGTACTTAACGATGTCTCTGTTTAAAGAGAAAATGCTCTTAACCTATAAAACATCCGATGTTTATAATTTTGTTTTACATTCATAAAGTTCAATGCTTTAGATTTTCTTTTTTTTCTTTATTTATTATTTTTTTCTTTTCTTTTTTTTCTCATGGGCAAAGTCCAGATTGTCATAGGAATACGACGGGGACAGGTGTGCAATAATATATAAATATTCGTTTTGCGTGTTATCGGGAGTTTTGGTTAATTGTCGTGTACTTTGAAGCGCTTGTTGATAAAATGGTAAAATTGGTGATTGTCAAGCTATTGGAAAATGCAGTCCAGCCAGAAGTAGCAAATAAAATTACAAGTCAGCCTGGAAGAGGCTGGGAGCAGATGTAACGGCTGTGTGTGCAAATTGTACGCGTGTAGATGCGGTCACGCGACGACGAACTTTGACATTCGTGCGATTAATTGTTCCGAGGCGAAAAAACATGCGTTAGCTATGCGAGAGGATGTGCAGTGAGAAAATTCTTCCTCGTAATCCTTTGATTTTCCTTCAACGATTACAGTCGAATCTAGTAGAGAGAGAGAGAGAGAGAGAGAGAGAGAGAGCCGGTGAGTAATGGGTGAGTGAGTGAGCGAATGAGAGCGAGCGAGTGAGAGAGATGAGCGCTGTCTCGTAGAGAGGAGCCAGGTGCGGAGCCAGGCTGCACTTTTGCATGTTGCACACATGGCTGAACGTGCGTACGTGCACGTTCGACTTGGGTTTTTTCCGCCACTGTATTGTAGAGTAAACGCAAGCGCGAGTGAAATGCGTCGCCGCGAGTTCTCACCATATTTGGGCATTCGCGTCATCCTGTGCCCTTAAATATTTTTCTCGCTCGACGAATGTATTCTTTCCAGCTTCTTTCATTCGAATGCCAGGATTTTTTAAAAGCATCGCGAGGCCTTTTACTTTGCGCACAAGTGCCTCGCGCATGCTGAAACTTATTCATAGGCTAGTGATTTTTTAGGTTAAGTTTGTTCGTTTACACTATCTGACACGCCGCAGCATTCGAGTTTTTATTTCGTTAGATGCAGTCGGCGATGTTTATTACATTGGTACATTCAAAAATGAAATATTGCCGAGAGCCGATTGAAATTTTATCACGGACGTGCTATAGTATTTAAATGGCTTGATTTGGCATTTCTCTGTGGAAATGTACACTTGATAAAAATATTTTTGATTATTTTATATGGGATATACAGGACAATTGTTTTGCAAGTTATTAGTTGTTAATGGGAAAAACATGTTTTATTATTGTACAAATAGCGTACGAATTAGTTTATGAATGCTTTTTTTTTCTATGTATGTGTGATAGGGAGACCGATGTTTTTATGCTATATATTGAAGTTCCAAGATATATTCTGTTTTGTTTTTTTTTCTGATTAATTCTATTGAAAAACGCAAGCGTTATGTTTGAAATATAAAAACATACAACATATTTCTTTAGTTGCACCTTTTCTTGTAAATTTGTCTCTCAAATTTTATATTTATCTACAGATCGAACTATATTTAACGTATTTAATAACACCAGTTTTAAAACTTTTATAAGACTTTTTATAATTATAAACGATTCGATAATATGTTTAAACTCTCATAATAGTTCATCGCGTGTTAAGCTAGACTTCAATTACATTCAGAATTGATATTTTCTCGTTTGAATAGTATTATTATACAATCGAATTTGAAAAATGTGATTATACTTTAATTATGAAACTTTTTAATAAAAAGAATATATTTTTTATCCTTATAATTTAAATTAATGATCACGACAGGAATATTGAGTAATGGAATCTGAATAAAGATTATTCGTTTAAAAAATACAATTATATAGGAGTAAATGTTTGATTTGAAAAACCTTTTTTAAATGTAACATTGAGCTTCGTGAGGTAATGTGAAATTTCTCAAATTTATTATTATTATTATTATTATTATTATATATATATATATATATATATATGCTAAATATGTTACAGCAACTAGATTTTCATTATTGTCTGTTTCATTAATAAATTTAGTGTTACATTTAATATTATTTAACATTTAACCATTAATATATTTCATAGAAAAAGGTTAAAAGTCGATTGTTTAACTTTTTATATTTCATATATTAATAATTAACAATTCTGTAAGATTGATAATTGTAATAAACTGAAAGATTATTAAAAATTGACTAAATATAAGTTATATTTAGTTTTTAAAAATAAAGAATTTTAATAATATTTATTTTTAAGTATTTATTTTTAATGGCTCGTGACTGATACAAAATTGTCACTATGATTCATTTTATATAGAGGAATTAAAAATTAATTAATATGAATGAAAAGAGAAATATATTTATAATAAATACGAAAATAATTACTGTCGAATTATTGCTTTAATTATTTAAAATATTTTAAAAATTTACTTGAAAGTCATTACGTATTTAATGTATAAATATTTTCAATTGCTCATCGGTTGAGGATAAGTGAGAAAACGAAAAAGCCAGAAAAAATTAATTAAAACATTATAGTGAAGTAGTTTAGAAGAAAACAAGGAAAAACACGAACATTAAAAGTATGTCAATTTTTTAATGAACGTTTGAAGTCGTTAGCAATCTCATGCTCTGGAATGATCATTGAAAGTGGTATGTGTGTGTTAGTTATTCGTTAAAATGACTGAAAAACATTTTAGCGGTGTTAATAGCACCTGAAATTCCAATTTACCTAAGCTGTTGCTGTGTAGCTGCTGTTGCCGAATTACATAGTTAGTAACTGGTTGTGCATTTGCGACACATGTGACGTAATTCGGCTTTCGCGAAATCGAGGGCGAGGGAGGGAAGGGGGAAGGGAGGGTCCGATGTAAACGCAGTCACGCACCAGTAAAACTAGATTTTACCATAAATCAGAGTTGTCAGGAATCTCCTTTTAAGGGGATGTGCAATATAAATCTTTACTACGAGACCTGCCGTACCGATCGTGCTTCAGTAAATGACTTCGGTTAAAACATCATTTCGATTTATTCGACATTCAAATCCGTCGTCTCTCCATAATGCAATAAAGCAAAATCACAAAGTGTTTAAAGCTTTTGATATCAATGGCTTTTTAGAAATTATGGAAGAATTATTTGATGTATCTAAGGGCTTGTAATCTTTTTTATTTCATTGCTAAATTATCTTTTCAGGTAACCGTTACTGTTCAAGTCGAAATTTTTAGCAATTGCATACTTTTGCAATAACGAAGATGAATAAAAATCAAAATTAACTCTCATATAAATGAAGATTTATGTAATTGAAATCATATGATTTGCCGTATATGGTTTATGGTCATTGATATATAGAGAGAATTTTTATGACAAGTTCTCTTAAGAAGGGTTTAATGTTTACGTTTTTCACTTTATTTCAATTGAAAAGTTCCTTTCAAGATGAAAACATAACATTACCTTTAGTTTTTTAGAATTCACTTAATGACACTATGTTCAATTTCTATAAGCTACAAGTGCTTTGTTGCAAATAGTACTCTAAAATTCAGGATGTAATTACTGAAATGAAAAGCAATCGTGCGATAGAAAAATGCTATTAGACTTATAATAATACACTTACTACTGAGTAAATTAATATTAGAAATAAAATTATAAATACCAAAAATACCATAAATCGTTCAAGTTTTACCGTAATAAATTTTATCCGCTAATTTTGTTCATTTTGCTTATAAATATTTTAAATTGTAATAATCTTATATATAAATTTATCATTTAAATTTTACTATTGTCATCAAATAGTGAAATTTAGGAAACGAGAAGATTAATGTTGTTTGTAAGTGAGACAATGAATAAAATTTTAATTAACAAAGCATAAGTGGCTTGATAAAGTTAATATCGTAAAAAGCTTTCGACTGCTTTCTCTTGAAGATCGAAGCTTCTAATGCTGCTTTTCTTATCAAACTCCTCAATATCATTTTTACGATATATAGTTATATATATATATATATATATATATATATCTTGCTTCTCTTTCACCTATAATCCCCGAAATATATGAAGTCATCGTATGGAGCATATGCATGTATGAGAGTAAAGTAGGAAAGATTCAAGAAAGGAAAATGAGGAAAATATCCAAAGAATTTGTTGGTGGAATGAACTTTATAAAAATGTACTCGGAATATTTGCCTACAGATACTATTGCAATTTGTTTTCTCCAAAGTATCTTCTGCCGAGCAAAATATTAAAAATAATTATTTATAAATAAGATAAAATTTAGAACGATAAATCTAATAAAAGAGGTACTTTTAAACTGCAAATGTAAAATTTTATGAGTAATAACGATCAGCAAGTCCGTATTGTAGCAGAATCAATTTGTATATATATGTATTACATATTATTTTACACGTATAAAAGGCGTCGAGCAATTTGATGCTGAAGGTGAAGGAAAGTGTTATATGTTGGTACAAATTTCAACCATGCGAGTCGTATCCCAAGAGTATTATATTTGGTGCAAAATTGGGAGCTGGAAAGTACGAATACGCGGAAGCTTTTCAAGTCTAGCATTAAGAATCCGCATCTGCTTTCCCTTTCCACCTTGCCTTTTAACGTACGTAGCGGCACAATATCGATAATGCAGAAAATAC